ACCCTCAGCGGTCTTGAGAAATCCAATATGTTGTCTGTCAGCTATGTGACGTTCGTGACTGTGATCCTAAGTCATGAAAGGTACGTGCGGAAAAATTCGGATCTTTGTCTCATTCTCTTGCATTCTACAGCTATGTCGTTTTATGATGGCAGATCCATCGCCTCCATATTTGATGTCATCGAAATGAGAGACATCGTCAAGTTGTTGCGGGATCATGACGTACGTAGCAACTACTACCGATGATTATTATTCACATGCTTTTATAGATTTATGTTGAGGAATCGATAATCAACAACCGAGAATACTTGTACTATTTTATTGGCAATTGCAATGTCGTGCAGCAAAATGCTATTCGAGACGATGGTGCCTGGCGATTTCATCGAATGCAAGATCTGTGTGCCAAATTATCGACATCGTTATTATTATTTGTCTTAAGGACATGTTCTCCAGGTATTCTCAGTCCTTTTCCGCTATCGCATTGACATTATTAATGGCTGTACTAGATGTAGTGCTCGCAACGTATCATTCTCGAAAGGAATTGTTAAGCCAACTAAACGACTTCGACTTGTTAAATCTTATACGAGAACGAGGTTGGAACACAGACCATCCGACATTCATAGATGCTACCTTCGTTGCGACGACTGTACATGTTCACCACAAAGAAGCCATTGTGGATACCCTACGTTCCGTATGTCCTACAGGGTTCATACCATCAGAACTACTTCGTGAAACAAGAATGACTGTCTATATGTTTTGCTCTCTCCTCCATGGCGATGCCTTGAATCGTTTTCGTCAATGTCTGGAACAACAATTGCGACCTCCTGCCTTTTCAGATGGCGTCTACGTTCATGAAGAGTACGATGGCGTTACAACCCCGATTTTACAATGGTTGTGTCAAAATTATAGTCAAAGTAAAGTATCTTCCATAAAATAATACATTATCATTGATATTGCCAGATTTTCTGCACATATGTCTATTCCATCTAGATTAACATGCTCGGACTGTCTATATTATCTTCAGTTCGCACAATTTACGCATACGTTGACGACATCTCATAGAAACCGAAACCCGTCCACTCATCATGAGAACATTCACGAGATGCGTATGACGACACCCACGTCTCTGATATTCTACACCGTTCAGATTTGTCGTCGACGACTGACCCACCCTACCGCTCACCTCTCGTGGTCAATTTGGCCAGAACAGCGCATGACAGCAAGAATTCATGATATGTTCCACATCCTATATCGAAATAAGCATGAAACCAGGTCAAAGAGAAATGTAAACGTACGAACTTGCAACATGATAGGCAAATGCAAGTATTTATGTTCCACAAATCTGATATATATTATTTCGTCAAACGTCAAATGACTCCATAGAAACCTAGACTCACAGATCACCACGGAACTACATTAATCCGACAGTCCTAATCATTCTCCATGAAACCGCAGAGCAAGGTATAAAGTCGTCGACCGACGACCGCTAGTATAATTCATGAATGACTCCACGAGGTTGGCATAACTAAATTTAGCCCGGCAGAGCACGGCAACGTCAAGCCGAACATTTTTCCGACTTGGGATTTCTCCTGTACTCATTCAAAATGTCGACTGTCGGTGGTTTCGTCCCCTTGCCAATCTCTTATTCCTCATTCGTGATCCATTATATCTATGCCCGTGCTCATGAAGGCTCTAAAAAAGTTGTGAAACAACCGTGGCCTGTGGGTCGCACTCTGTTTTTGGCAAATCTACCTCCAGATGCGACCGAACGCGAACTTTCGCTATTCTTAAAACCTCACGGAACGGTAGAAAGGGTGTCTTTCTCGGAGGATGCTCAAGGAAATGATACGGTAGAGGAAAGCGATGACAGCGAGAGCGATGGGGAGGTAGACATGGAGACCGAGGAAGGGGTTGCAGAAGGAGAAGACACCCAACCGAAGAAACGACGGCGGCTCAACAAAACCAAGCCTCCTCAGCCTCCTCAGGTGATCCCATTACCTACAAAACGCCTTCGGACTCTGCGGCACACAGGTCAAACAGCCCATGTCGTCTTTCTCGATTCTTCTTCGCTGGAGCGCGCTCTCGTACCACCCACGAAGCCTCGTCCTTGGCCGACGTCAGATGAACCTTCAGGGTTGGTTCATTATCTGACTGTGTACGACTCCTTGCGGCCTCCGCTTGACGCTGTGCGCACGTATGCAGACTCGGCAATGGAGCTGTACGAGTTTGAGTTGGCTAAAATGAAGCAGAAATCAAAATATCGCAAGGGGGAGGCTATCGTCGACGAAGATGGCTTCACCCTTGTTACGAGAGGTGGCGCGTACGGCCAGACTGTGGGTGGTGGTGTTGCTGTGGCGAGCAAAAAGTTCCAGCGGAGTGGCGAGACGAGTCATAGGAATCGGAAGAAAAAGGAGAGCAAGGAGAAGACTGAGTTTTATGCGTTCCAGAAAGCTGAGAAGCAGCGGAGTGGTATGTGTTTTTTATCTGTTCATTTGCCTACTTTCCCCCCTTACGCTCCTGTTTGCAGACTTGATGAAACTCAAGCAAAACTGGGAAGAGACAAAAGCAAAAGTGGAGAAATTGAAAGCGTCGCGACGGTTCAAGCCTTATTAGGTTGCCAGTATTTACGAGCGGTGCGTCTGCATTAACCCGAAACCAGTGATACGTGCTCTTTTACTCATGTTTGTTTCCTTGTGTCTAGTACCGTTCTTCTGGGGGCAACGATGGTTCTGATAACAACACTGTATGAGACTGCTTGTAATAGCAGGATTCAACCAAGTAGTCTATTCTGCCGAACCTACTTCAGAATCTGTCGCAATTCCCCAATATCCATGAATACAGATAGACACCTGGACCATTGGCGAAGGCACATTCATGGAAACTCCTGTACTAATATTGCCGAATCTCACAAGAGCTGAGACTGAGCACTTTGCATTCATTGCTACGTATACCGAATCTAGGACAGGTAACGTGCTCCATAGGGCACGTCGCGACCATAATCATGGATATTCGAAACTGAATGCCTCAAAGTGACAATGCACTCAACTTTCGCCTTACTGTACCTGCATTTAGGGAAGAAACCATCACACATCACGGCAACTGGGTTTGGTTTCCTAATTTCTGTTCCATCACGCATCACGGAGGGTTGGTTTCCCAATCTTTGGCGTGACGGTCTCAAAATCCAACCACTTCAAACTTTGAACGTTTTTGCGTCCAAAGTTTCCGAAATTCGCCTCTGTCACGCATCACTTGGGGCCAGTTTCCTAACGAAGGAAAATCTGGACAGTCACGTTCATGTAGCGGTTTCTTCCCTACATGCAGATACAGTATACACATCGGCCAATGACAACATTTGTCCTTTGGGCACACTCCTGTAACTGCTGTCCCAGAGGTTTTGCTTTCGATCTATGATGAAAGGCGCATTCACTTCGACCTCGGAAAGTACAGACGACCCTGGGATGACGGTGTCAAACAAGGTCGCCTTTAGTTGCCGCCAAGGTTCGACGTGGAAACTCGATCCGGAAGCGCTCAGAGGCCAAATGGCTTCGTCGACCCAGACGATACGAAAAGTTCGGAGGCGAGAAGGGGGAGTGATCTCTCATGCCATACAAGGTCTTTTCATGACTCCCAGGGTGTCTTCCACGACGACGAAACCCATTTCATCAGTGACAATATGCATTGGTAGGAAAAGGACAAGTGTCTTCATCGGACGGGGCATTCGATTCTCCCTATATGTAAATTCATTAGTCCAAGATTTGTATTGAAGGAGGCCAATGCACTTTTCTTAATTTCGAATTGCAAGTGTCCCATGCTATTCATTTCGCGCAAGCCTTCATACTACAAGAAATTTCGAAAATGTTCGTAGAGATCACAGGGCCTTGACCACTCATAATAAAAATAATCTTCGACGCCAGGTTTGCCAAAGTTATAATCAACATATATCTCTAGTTGAACTGAAAGTTTCCATGGATGGCCAGCAAGGATACAATCCAGCTCTTGTCAATCCGATCAAAGATGACGCAAAAGGAAGGCATCGTATGGGCAAAAAATGACCTCCAGAACGATATCTTCCACGGACGAAGGGAGCCCCTTGAAGAGCGGGTGCTCCCATAGAAAAGGACCTCGCCAATCAAATGAATCCTATCAAGGGAAGTCCAGTGACTATTAAAGTAGAGGCTGGTGCGGATATTGCGAAGCCGGCTCAGGTGTTCTAAATCTATGAGGTCTGAGAAGAGGTATATCATTAATGAATGAGACAAGAAGGGGTGCGGCCTACGTGATTCACCCCATTTCCTGACTGGGAGGAGCAGTGTCAAACTCTCCAAAGAGGAACTGACTGAAGGGAAGCAGCTTCGACGGTTCGGAACCAATTCGGCTGTAGCATTGGCGTCCTCGATCCCAATTTCATCCAGAGTGATGATCTCAAGGTTATTAAAGCTGGCTAGCCTGTAGAGAATATAGTTGAGAGGCAGTGTCGAACATTGTCTTGTCCAAGATAAGAGTTCGAACACTAGAAATCGAATGAGGTCAAGGAAACGAGCCAGCATTGAATTTGGAAACGTTTCCCCGTGCCAAGTGTATGCAGAGCCTTTGGAGGTTCAGGAGGAGCCTGTTGCTCGGAAGAAGAAATGAGGGATGGGTTAATGAGCAGGCCTTGAGTGAGGGAAAATCGAAACCGAGACAGCTTAATATTTCTTCCAGTATATCTTGAGAGCCATAATCGAGCACGGCAAGGTGCAAGTCAGACAGGCGGCCGTTTTGATCGATTTGAAATGACGTTTGAAAGACCAACGGACCCAAAACTTGTTGCGAGCAAGGTCCAATAAGCGGTAGGCAAGCTGGACACAAAACAACCCACACCCTCACATGAAACTGCACGCATTCCAAGGACTAAGATAGAAAGAGAAAATGGGCATCAAGATTAAGAGTCTTATGTTCACTAGGAAATTCATGACAACTTCAAGGTTCAACAGAAGGGAAAAAATCACTCCCATAATTAAAACAGACCCCAGCGTGACTCGAACACGCGACCCCGAGATCATTACACACATATATGCATCACTGCAATCTCATGCTATAACCACTTAGCTATGGAGTCATACACACAAGCTGAAATCGCTCATATTTATATCCATAAAGCATCGTCTTTTCCTAGGCGTACGACGGCCTGGCGTTCTTATTCACTCCCAGTCATGTCAGAGCCTGAGAAGTTTTGGCTGCTCAAGGCGGAACCCGACTCCCGGCTTGTCAAGGGAAAGGATGTAAAGGTAAAGTCCTGTTTTCGAATTGATTCGGATGATATTCACGATATGGCACCAGGTGCACTCACTCTTCATGACCGCCGTATATAAGAGTCTTATAGACGTCCCAATAGTTCAGCGTCGACGATTTCGAGATCATCGGTACATCAGCATGGGAGGGGGTCCGTAACTACGAGGCTAGAAATCTCATGAAGGAGATGAAAGTTGGGGACAAGGTACAAAAGGCTTAGTGTTGCCATTGATTTCAGTCAACGCGCTGACACGTCCCAGGCTCTTTTCTACCATTCAAACTGCAAAGCTCCTGGTCCGTGTTTCCTTTTGTCGGTATGGAATAAAATTTGACGCGTTATGGCATCAAGGAATCGCGGCGTTCGCTGAGGTCTGCCAGTCTTGTCTCATCCTGCTTGCTTTCATTTACGCGACTCCCACAGGTGGCTAAGGAAGCGTATCCTGATTGTAGGTGGATAGTACCAGCCAGAATTGCTGAACTTTCAACCCTGGTGCAGACACTGCTTGGGATCCGTATGTCACTCACGTCTGCGTTGTCTCATGCATCCTAATAACCGCTCTGTCCCAAGTTCCCACCCATACTTCGACCCTGTATGTCACATCCTTCATTATCCACCGTATTATTATTCATGGCCAGTATGCTCTAGAAATCAGACAAGGAGAAACCCAAATGGTTCATGGTCGACCTCAAGTTTACCACTCGAGCACAACACTTCGTCCCTCTGTCCTTCTTGCGTTACGTAGGCTCCCATATGGTCTCCCAGAGTGTCGAATCCATACCGGAACCGGTCCGTTATGTCAGTCAGTCTGACATAGAAGCCATTCGATGTAAGTTTGTCTGCTTCTAGGCGTTCTTCTGCGTTTGATTCTTCTTAGCTATGGACCTCGTCACTCGTGGACGTCTAAGTGTTCAGCGTGTGGATAAAAAAGCCTGGGATGCGATCAGACTTTTGTCAGAACAAGGAGGCTGGGAAGAACTGAATATCAAGCCAGAGCAGAAGAGACAGACAACGACCACCGCTTCTGGTAAGAAATCGAGGAAAATCGCGGCCAAGGACAAGGATGGTCAGTCGGGGGAGGAGGAGGATGGCGATGAACCGTCGAAACCAGCCACCTCGAAGCGAGGGAAGAAGCGGAAGGCGGCCACACCTCCAGACGACATTCGGCGTACTCGTAGGTCGACTAGGCATCACCCAAATAGGCCTGTATGAGTATTGCGATTGTATTTCTGTATTTTCCAGTCGGACCTTTGTATATATCATAATGTTGTCTAGCGCCATGCTTTTCATTTGAGGATGGGTCCGTGACGTCATTTCATCTTTCTCCTGCTTACCATGAACTGTCTACGACACACCAATATTCTCGCTCCCGTCCACCAACGAACGCTCTGTTACCAGTCATCTCGTTTTTTTCACTCAAGTCTACGCTGGAGAAGCCTGAGTGATCACGACAGAGGCAGAGGACTAACCAACATCCTCGCCGACGACAATCCGCCAGCTGTACAGGTCAAGAGGATAACCAATCAAGGCATTCAGCTAGTCGACGGACTTGTCCTACCATCGGCATGCATTTTTCTTGAGGGACAGGTGTTTCTGTGGGATGTACCGCAAACTTTGTGGGAGGGATGGGGGAAAGAACACTTGGAGATTTTTGACCTTGTTTCCCCCAGACCCGGTCCGTGTTTCATCTTTTTTTCTGGATCGCATACGCTAATAAGTAATAGAAATTTTACTTTTCGGTACAGGCGCGCGATTAGTGCAACCACCGCCATTTGTTCAGACATACATGAGCCGATTAGGCGTCCAAGTCGATACGATGGATACCGTGCGTCTGCCACGTCTCTTGAGAATCCATATCTGATCCCGTTCTCTTCAGAAAAATGCATGTTCGACATATAACGTATTGGCGGAAGAAGGCCGACGCGTGGCCGCTGCGTTACTTCCTCCTTCACCTCACCTGTGGCAAAAGACGTTTGTACCATCAAAATAGGAGCACGAGATGTATGTCGTAGGCGAGGGCGAGGACCCAGTAACTCAATTTAACGACAGTTCTCCAACTTGTTGCCGCCTTCAAAACTGCTTGCTTGGCATTACGAGTATTGCTGGACGAGCTCCATGTCGGTGTCACTGATGAAATTTGACATGATGAAATATTGAACTTCATGGGTTACGCTATGCTTTCACCTGCATGCCTCGGGAACGGGATATTGATCAAGAACATGCAAAGCGTTATAGCACATCACCTATCGGCAGCTCCGATCTGCAAGAAATTCTCCGTCAAGTGTCCATGACGAAGAAGTCCAACACACGTTTCGTTGCGTTCTTGTGTTGGCAAGGATGTCAATTGTTGTTCGTCTTCCAGACCTTTGTTTGGAGTGTTCGAGGAAAGTCGTGTCGTTGAAAATGATCGGACTTCTGTACGGGATTATCATGTCCGGCGCTCCATTTACAGCCGATGAGTATAGACAGTTGACGTAGAGCTCGAGGGCAGACTCAATCAATCGTTGCATGAAGCAGTACGTTGTCTTACTATCGTCGTGTTCCTTGAAGGATCTTAATTCATTCTGCAGTCATGACAAGACCACATACCCGAAGAGTCAGCTACATGAAATGTTGGTTGTATCCTAGAGGATGATGTCTATTATCGGGGACCATTACCAGTTGTGTAAATTCGCCTGCTTTCCCCGGTCACATTCAAATTTGATCAGACGATAGTCTGGTATATTTGTCTACGCATGATTAAGCAACTTGCTTTCCTCTCGCAACAAGATCTAGTATTCTGAAGGTCTATTCTCTGTGATCCAGAGGGCCTCCGCTTCCGAGTTTCGTGGTGGGGGGTTGATACCATTTATTCCCCACAGGCGTCGCTGCAGTAAAACGTATCCCGTCAATTTTCAAGTTCTGCATTTCCCAAGACAAAATCCAGGTACTTACGTCCATCTCCGCAATCTGTATCTCCCAGTCTGCACCTCGTGCCTTGATGAACGGCTCTAATGCCTTCTCGTATTTCTCCATAAATACTTTCTTGTATTCATCACTGCGTGGCCTTTTCAATCGTGCATCCGACTATAGCGGCCTGTGAACGTACCTAAAACGGGCGGCCATGTGATGCACGACTACACGGACAAAGTTGTCGGTAGCCTCCGCTCCGACATAGAAGTTCTCTTTGTCTACCTCAATGAAGATGACGACGACGTAGAATTTGGGCAGGAGGGGGTAGGTTTGTTGGACGGCTTTAACTAAAGCAGCTTTGTCCTCCTTGGAATAGAATCCGACGGGGGTATAGAAGCGGTGGAGAGGCATGTTTGTGGATGCAGTTTGGAAAGCATCTTGGGTTCATTTTATACAAGTCCAAAGGGCGAGTCGCCGGGTTCTAAGATATCAGTGGTTCGGTATCTTACTATCATGACCGACCTCGGTTACTAACCCTCTATAATAGCCTCGGTCAGAAACAACATGAGGTCAAGGGATCTCAATAAGAAGCCGCTTACTTGCCGTGAGCTATATATAAAGACGGTCGGTCGACCGGCATATAAATCACGGATGTAGATACTTATATTCATTTGTTTTCTGAGGCGAAGTATTTTGAACAATACATATTACAGCACGCTACAAAGAGTTTCATGCAGAGGCTAGCCTTCGCCGCGCATGACCGGCCATTACATTCTGGTTGGTAGTAGTTACACATGCACATGATAAAGGCAAACCTAATCACTGTCATGTCCTCCTCCTGGTATGCCAGGAACGTGTCAAATTAAGATACCCTGGTTAATCGTCCCACAGAATCACCGAGAAGTCTCTCGGCCATGGGCATGTTTTCGGAGTATTGCACCAGACACCAGACAAGGTTCTGCTATAATGAGAAACGAACAATCGGATTAGGCCATGTGACATCGTGATTTCTGGGACTAAAACAGATCTAGCGCAAGTCTTTCCGGATAACGGTAGTTAGGTAGAAATACAGGGTGACATGGGACAAAGACGCGAAGACAGATGATCAGCTGTCAACGGAAGTGGAGCGCTACTTGTTCCAAGACTCGAAGTTTAAGTGGACCAGGCCAAGGGGTCCTCCCAGTAAGTAGATAGAACGTAGCTTCGAGTTTCACCGACAACCAATTGCAATGAAGTTCAGAAAGTTTGCTTCTGAATAGTCCTTACGAAATTAACAAGTTCCGGCTGAGAAATGACTACTGGTTGGGGAAGGCATCTAGGTTTTAGCAGAGCTTACCGCTTGTATCCGCTGAAACAGAGAATCGCAAATCATTTACACGATGAAGAGAAAGCGGCGCGATATGCTCCGATAAGACGACGCAATACTGGCTAGAGGTTTCTATCCAAGCACTTAGTAGTAGTTGTCCTACCAAGAAATGTTCCAGGATTTCTAGGAACAGAATAATGTTAGTGGGTCAGTGGTTCATTACCTTGGCTTCCCAGGAGTCTTTGATTCTATGGTTGACAGATTTGTGGAAACATGAGGGAAGAGGGTGTGATCCTTGAGGACACCGATCATACACGAGAATCGGTTACTGTATCGTAAAACGACGTAGGTTCCAATGAAATGGCGGGTTGGTACTTACAATGTCTGAACCCCATCCAGGAGGCGGCGTGTTGCATAACGTGAACTCCTGTGCAAACGCGATTGCGTGGCTACAGGACATTGGAAAGTATAAGCGCCGAAGAAAATAGCACGCTGTGCGAGAAGGATACCTGCTGTAAGACATGGAAGAACCTACATAAATAATTGCTGTGGTGTCACTCCTTCTTGGATGAGCGGGACAGTGGGAAACAGTACGGTGTGCACACAAATAAGACCCACGAGATCACCGAAG